AACGACAAGTCTGGTGATATTGTGGATAGGACTCGTAGTGGGGCCAGGTAAAGAAGTTCTTGCTTGGAGCAGAGGTTCGAGCTCCATGCTGTCCAAGAGTTCAGAAGAAATTTTGTGCATGGCAATGGTGGGTGGGTAGGGCATTTTTTCGTGGCCCACATAGTGTCAGATAGGGAATGGAGTTGGCTACATGCTTGTTCAAGTTGAAGCCAAATTGGGCTGGCTTTTCCTGATATAATGTCCAGGCTCTGTGCTAGCGTGGATGCTTTGTAGTAGTTTGTGATATTGGGAACGCTCAGGCCACCTTGATGGATGGGGTTCCATAGGGAGTGAGCAGCGACTCTCGGAGGTTTTCTTTTCCAGATGTGCGCGTTGATAGTTGATTGGAATTTCATAAGAATTGATTTGGGAAGAGTGATGGGTAGTGTCCTGAAGAGATATAGAATATGAGGGAGCGCCATCATTTTAACCGAATTCACTCTTCCTATCCAAGAGGTGTTCAAATTATCCCAGGATTTCAGTTGGTTGGATATTTTCAGTAGGACTGCCTCATGATTTTCTTTTATAGTTTGAGAGTGTGATAGTGTGAGTTTGATACCTAAATACGTAACGGAAGTCTTGCGCCAATCAAAGGGGAATTGTAATTTCAAATCGGCTGTGACCTGGGGTTCGAGGTTCAGAGGGAGTATTTGTGTTTTGCTGATGTTGTTTTTATAAAATGACAAGTTACCATATGAGGCAAGAGTATACATGAGATGGGGAATGGCACTTCTAGGGTTTGCTAAAAAAAGAATAACATCGTCCGCAAATAAGGCCAGCTTCTTTTCCCCTGCTGGTGTGGTAAAGCCTGGCAGTAAGGGGTCTTGTTTGATTGTTCGTATGAGAGGCTCTAAGCATAAGATAAATATGAGGGGGGATAGGGGACACCCTTGTCTCGTACCATTGGAGATATCAAAGCTTTTAGATAGGAATCCTGAGTTTAGTACTTTCGCCGATGGCGCGGAATAGAGGGCCATAATGCTCGTAATGAAGGTTTTCGAGAATCCATAAGCTTGTAAAACAGTCTCCATGTACGTCCAATTAAGGCGATCAAAAGCCTTTTCTGCGTCCAAGGCCATTAAGACCCCGGACACACGTTGACGAGTTGCCCAGTCGATGAGGTCCATGCAAAATCTGGTATTGTCTCCCACCTGCTTGCCAGGCACGAAGCCTGCTTGTTCTTCCGAAACCAAGGTAGATAGCAAGGGTTTCAATCTTGTGGCTACAAGTTTTGCATAGAGCTTCACATCAGCATTTAATAGCGAAATTGGTCGTAGATTGCCACAGGTAGTGGGTGGTTTATTCGGCTTGGGTAGGGTAATGACGTATGCTTCCAACATGGTTCTAGGGAAGTGGCCAGTTTCTTTTATTTTATTAAAAAGTTTGGTTATGTGCGGGGATAGGTATGGTTCTAATTTAAGATAATAGTAATTCGGGAGACCGTCTGGGCCTGGGGCTTTATGCCTGGGGAGAGATTTGATAGCCGCAGCTACTTCGGATTCCGTGAACGGGGCAGTAATCGTGTTATTTTGTTGTTGTGAAATTTTTGGCAATTGTATTTTTTCTAAATAGGTTAGAATTTCTGTTTTGTCTGGAGTGTGCGTATTCTCGTTTGCGTCTAGGTTGTATAGTTCTTCATAGAAAGATGCTAATTCGTTCACTATGTCGGTAGGATTATATATTTTTATCTGTGACTTTGAGAGAATGTATGGGATTTTCGTTTGAAGATATTTGGATTTCAGTTGGTTTGCTAGCAATTTTCCGGCTTTATTGCCCATGCCATAATAGTGACGTTGAAGTTTAGCTGCGTTCGTGGTGAATTCTTTGACCTTAATTTTTAGTATCTCTTCACGCGTTTCTGTTATTTGTTTCGTCGTGTTGCGGGAAGGGGTTATTTTGTTGACATTTTCCAAAGTCGTGAGTTTCTGGAGCAACTTTCGTTGTAGGTTATGAGATTTCTTCTTGTTGATTGATCCTATTTTGATAAATTCTCCTCTGATCACCGCTTTGTGAGCGAGCCATTGGGTTTCTATTGATGTATCATTTGTAGTGTTGATTTCGAAATAGTTTTGCAATTCGCGGGCAATCTTCTCTAAATTCGAAGGTGTGTCAAGAATGGACTCATTTAATCTCCATTTGCCTCGGCCTCTCGTTGGGTAAGGCACTGCTATTGTGATAATTATTGGGGCATGGTCCGACCATGTTCTGGTCCCTATCGTTTGATAAAAAGATGAGGTAATGTGGATTTATCTATCAAGCAGATATCTATTCGGGTATATGTTAAGTGGACCGGGGAGAAGTAAGTAAGTGAAATCCTTAGCAGCTGGGAATAGGTTTCTCCACGTATCATAGAGATCGTGAGAGAAAATAAGATTGGAAAATGATTTGCTGTTGTGGATGGTTAGTTTGTTAGGCTTTTTATCGTTGGCACATTGAATATCTAATGTAGGGTCTAGTGTACAGTTGCAATCACCGCAAATTATAACATGTCCTTGTTTTAGTGAGGAGATTTTCTTTATGGCTTTGTTGAGAAAGGAGAATTGAGCCTCATTTGGTGCGTATAAGGACGCTATCGTCACTTGGATTCCGTTAAGGTCTCCCACTATAATTAGCAATCTCCCATTTGGGTCAGCATGTTGGTTGGTTGGGGTGAATACCCAGTCTGCATGTAGTAGGATGGTTACACCTTTTGATTTGTTTGGCGCGTAAGCATGATAAGCTATGGGGTATTTGGAGGATCGTAGATTAGGAGGGTTCTTTTTACAAAAATGAGTTTCTTGAAGGCATACTATAGCGGCATTGGAGTTGTGCATGTCTTTTAGAGCTTGTCTTCTTTTGTACGGGCTGTTGAGGCCTTTGACATTGAGAGATAAAATTTTCATTGTATTAGCCATTGATTGATTGGGTAGCATTCGTGGCTGCGCTTAGGTGTCCTGTCCTTATGGTATGAGGGGCAAGCTGAACGTTCACTTCCACAGAAGTAGAGCCAGTAGTATCAAGTGTAGCATTGCATCCATTAAGGCGTACGGATGGGCTTCTTAGTGATGCGTTCGGATGTGAGGGTAACAAGTAGAGGGAGAAGAAGGGAAGAGAGGGGGATTTAACAAGAAATACATAACTATATACAAAGGTTCCTTCTTTGAAGAGAAGGTGTAGAGTGGACATGTTGAGACCACTATGAGTGTCTCGAGCCATGACCTGGGGGGCAAGAGAGAGTTCCTCCAGCCTGATGTGAATCGCGTAACAGTGAGTAACTGCTTGTAAGAATGCATAAAAGTAACAAAAACATCATTAGAAGAGAGGAGATCCAATGTGGCAGAAACTACAACGCCTGGAAAAGTGAAGAAGGTAGAGCTAATGTCTAACTGCAATATTCATATATTTGCTAACGTGTCACTAGAGCTAGAGGATGCGTTCAGCAGGCGAACGGTTTCCGAATTCTATTAGAGCGTGACATGAAACACGGGATGGTGATATCAGCATGAAAACCGGGTAGTGGTGATACTAAGCTAGAGAGGGGGGGGGGGTTTGGGAAGGACGACGTTGCCGAATAGTGATTCGTCTACGCTCAATCGTCTATGATGTCCTTCCTCTCCCATTGAATATAGGACTCGGCCACTAAATTGTAAAACCATAAGACATGACTAGCGAATATAAAGTGTATAACATAAATAAAAAATATAAAATAAAGTAAAATAAATCAAATAAGGCGGGTTGCACCGTATGCTGGTAGATGAAGGGTTGATGTTTCTAACCTGCATACGGCGCCCAGCACTATATGCAGTCAGAGCATATGCACGTGTGAAAGCTAGTATTTGGGAACGTGTACCTGCGACATGGTGCATGCAGCTGCAACGCTTTTTGTCGTTTTAAAGTCATAGATTAGAATTTATCCAAGGAAGGAACATAAAGTAAGCTAAAGAAAAATACTGTGTTTAATAAACTTTTTGGTGATGCAAGCGCGTACGCTCATTCCTTCTAACAAGTAAGTTGGGATTGGTAGTATATTGTTGCGCGGTTTTAAGTTAGTCTAATCGCTCATAATCAGATAGGCGGTAATTGCACTTATAATGCTGCATGTACTAGGTGCAATGATGTTAATCTACCATTTTATGGACATCAATCCAAGTACAGGAGTACCGGGTTTAGAATTATCACCCGCAATTAAAATCAGAATCTGTACTAAGTGACACATGGTGACCGTGAGCGATCACGGATAACCAGGCTAATAGGCGCAACTGAAAGGGTCCATGTCGCAATGTGCACTTCATATCAGGCGTGTACAATTATGCATTACCACATTTTCATAGTATCTACTCCTTAAGCATATATTATTCAGACAATTTCTAGTAAAAAATGAGTTAAGGCATATAACTTAACTAAGTTTTAGAGTCAATTATGCTGAAATTCAATGCAAACGTAATGACATATTACACAGTAAAGAATAAAGAGAGAACAATTTAACTTGAGAACTTATCAGCATATTGCAGTATAGGTTATACTCATCGCTTCCCGCGAATGTTGAGTTAAAAGGCAGTTCATGGTTTTGTAGAAGACGATCCCGTCATATTCCAATCCGCTTGAAGTTTCTTCGGGGAAAGGTCTTTTGCTTGTGCGGCATGTGAAGTTGTCGTGGTTGCATTCCAAAGCCCCCAGGAGGTGATTATCTTCATGCCTTCGGCTGGTTCGGTTATAACCAGTGTTCTGCCTTGTCTCCAGACCAGAAGTTTCGTTGGGTAACCCCACTTGTAGGAGATTTTATTATTGCGTAGGGTTTTGGTGATGGTTATAAATTCTTTTCTACGTGCCATAGTGGAAGCTGATAGATCAGCAAATAAGAATATATTTCGAAATGGGGTCAGGTAGAGTGCCTGCCTTTCTTGCTGCGTTGAGCAGAGTGTTCTTGTGTGCAAAGTAGTGAAACTTCACAATAGTGTCTTTAGGGACATCTTGTGCCATACGTGCCGGGCGTGGAAGTCTGTGCATGCGGTCAAAAGTCCATGCAGAGTATGGTAAGTCTGGAACTAAGATTTTACAAATAGATAGTATATAAGCAGGAAGAGCATCGTGGGATATATCGTCCGGTATACCCCTGAATCTTACGTTCTGCCTTCTGGATCTATCCTCTAGATCTGCTAATTTTAATTGAAGCATATTGTTGTCTTCTGAGAGTTTCTGAAGTTTATCAACAACTTCGTTGTGAGCTACACATAGCTCATCGGATTTGTTTTCAAGATGGCTGGTTCTTTCGCCCAGTGTTGAAATTTCCTTCCTCAGTTCACTGTCAATTTGTAGGAAATCCTTCCTAATGGTAGAGCGGAGGTCTTGCAGCATTCTATGCAGACTTCGTTCTGTGATCATTGAGTCCGATAGTTTGGAGGAGATTGATTCAGCATCTGACTGGTCGTCCGACAAGCCAGGTGTGTCGCCGCCATCTTGTTTGTCTTTTCTCCGGTCTTTTTTCCGGGTTTTCACCACGTCCATGATCTTCAACTGTTTGGGGGGTGACATAGTCGTTGGGTAATACCTTAGGAGCGCGGATGGGTGGACAAATGTGCAGTTTTTGCTTCTGTTGTCGCTGTCAGGCTAGATTTTCGGCGGAGCTCTCAAGCCATGCGTCCGTACTCGCCGGAAGTCGGACACGCCCCCATATGCCACTTTTTCCATAACACTGGGTAACTATATTCCAATATATATCACATGTACTGACATTTCAGCCCTTAGGAATTGTATTATTTTCAATTCATCTGGGCTATCTTGACTCAGAATTTCCAATTACATGGGTATTATCTTACCAATAATAAGATATTTTAAATGTATAGTATTTTTTAGTTCCACTTCTTTTTTTCATGGTGTATGGTTATGGTTTTTTTCTTTTGCATTGATACTGTAGAGTACTCCATCACTGTATTTCCACATACAGTTGTTAGACAGTATTTTTGGTATTTTTATAATGCCAACTAATTCTGAAATGCTTTACAATATTATGAAAGGGGGGAAATTTGCAATAAATTAGTCAATTACACAGTGACACAGGAACAATAGGTAGAGGAGGGCCCTGCTTAAATGAGCTTACAGTCTAACACTTTAAGAATACATGTTTGTGTTCCTGACCCTATAGTGTTCCTTTAATCACTGAATAATTTTGGTACAATTGCCGGTGCGCAACCAAAGGGTAATATACAATACCACAAAGAGATTCTCATCTCTAAAACATACAGTTGCGTAATTTATTTCACAACCCTGTTGATTACCTCTCATAAATATACAGAAACCAGATATACGAAACTTACAATGTGCTTAGTTTAAGTTTCCTTTTTTAGACATTTCGTCTTCTTACAAATTTAATTTCCTTTTGTTTTAACTTCCTTTTAATAGGTCTATAGAAATTCTTGATATATTTTGTCTTGTACAAACATGTCAGTGGAATCTAATATGAAATCACCAACACCTTACATTATCTGTGTATTGTGACATTGCCAACCAAATATTTGTATCTATATTGTAATACTACTGAACCCATTAAGCAATGATTAGCAATATTCTTTGATAATGCTTTATCCACCCCATTGTCCATGCGGTACAATTGTATTTGTTCATCTAAACAGCCTTATTAAAAGAAAATAAACAAAAAATACACATAACAGACAAAAATGAGTTTAAAAAAACACACTTAGTATAAGAGAAAAAGGAAATACTTGCCACTATTGAAAAAAAACAGTTTGGAAACAATAGCATGTATGTCAGTAGGTATTTTGGATTTGCTAAGGCTAACTTCAGCATCCAGTTGAATTATGAAATGTGTAGGATACTGAACCACATAATCAAATGATGTGTAAATAATGCAGGTTTGGGTTGGCAACTGCATGTTAAACAAATGTTCTAACCAATAATTGCAACCGGTGTGTGTATTTCCATTCAGTGTTCATCAAGTATTCATGTTTTTCTTGCTAGCTTTGAAACATCATCAAATGTGGCCACATCTAGGTACCTTCACATGGGAAACTCCAAGGTTATCTCAGGACTCTCCCCACAAGTGCAGCATTGAGTTTCATCTCTCAAGGTACAACAATTTAAGGATATTCCCTGGCTTACTTATCCAGGATTTGCAGAAATGCATTTGAGACTATCTAAAGAGGCACACATCCCATCCCAGTGATTTCCAGCAACCTAATTATTAGAGAAGCAGCATGACAGATGGATGAGAGATGGTGTCTCAGCTAAATTTCACCTGTAGCTTGCAACAATGACATTATCACTACAGCCACCACAAAAGACTGAAATCACTCTACCGTACATACTACTAATCCCTAACTATGACAACAGTAATCCCTTCTGCAGTTATTCTGTCAACACCTATGCAACATCAGACAATAATAGTAATAGTAATTAGGAAATAGTAATTACACTACTGTCAGAAAAAACACTGCTACTGTAATAATGCCAACAAAACCACCAAGGCCTGCAGTAATAACTATACCACCATTGATAACGAAATCTACAGTGGTAACTATGCCACTACCAACAAAACTTGTAGACTTGTGGATATGTGATAGCGTGTGTGTATATTTGTAATTGTGCATATAGGTCTGTGATTGTATGTGTGTGTCTGTGATTATGTGTGTTTAGGTCTGTGATTGTGATTGTATGTGTGTGTGTGTGTGATTGTGTTTGTATGTGTGTTGGGGTCTATGATTGAATGTGTGTGTGTCTGTGATTAGGTGTGTATGTATGTGAAAGTGCATGTATTTGAAATGTATGTGTGTGGGTCTGTGATTGTATATGTTTTTGTGTCTGTGATTATGTGTGTATGTATGTGACTTTGTGTATAGGTCTGTGATTGTGTGAGTATGTCTGTGTGTTTACATCTGTGATTGTGTGTGTGTGTATAGGTCTTTGATTATGTGTGTGTGTGTGTGTGTGTTTATTTGTGATTGTGTGGATAGATCAGTGACTGTATGTGCTTTTGTGGGTCTGTGACTGTGTGTGTGTGATTGTGAGTATTGGTCTGTGATATATGTGTGGGTGGGGGTCTGTGATTATGTGTGTGTCTGTTATTGTGTATGACTGTGTGTGTACATCTGTAATTATGTCTGTGTGTGTGTGTGTATGTGTATGTGTGTTTACATCTGCGATTATGTGTATATGTTAAGGTTCAAGTGGTGTAAGAGATACAATGGGGTGTAAGAGACACACAAAGAGACATAAGGCACACAAAGGATGGATAAGATAAATAAGAGTTGCAAAAAGGACAATATGATACACTAACAGGGTTAAGATATATCACATGGGGACTTTGACATACAAAAGTAGGATAAGAGATACAAGAAGAGTAAAAGCTAAAAGAAGACTTATGAAATTAAACAAGCAGAATAACGTTTCAAAGGAGTGAATAGAAATAATAAAGGGGTATACAATATGCAAAAAATGAGAAAATTGGCTCAAAAGGGGCGTAAAATACATAAACGTGGCATAAAATGTTTAAAAGGAGCAAACAGAAAATTACGAGACACAGGTGAAGATGCATTTTGAGGGGTGCCAAATTCATTTATGCTAGTGTAGCCAAAAATCCTTGCACCAGTCCTGAATCCAAGAGCTCGATGTGACCACAATCATAATTTACATTACAACTGGAGGTGTTAAGTGTATAGTCAAATAATGAAAAAAGTTAAGGATAATATTCTGAAGAATCAAGTTTATTTTGTGATACAGAAAAAAAAAATCCAAACTTTAAAAATCGCTTTGGAATACCATTATATTAATTATAAAAAGGAAAAAATCTAGCACAACCACAATGCTGACTTGTCAAGGAAGCAACGAAGAGTCTAATGGTAATTTTCAAGGAGCTGGACATGGGAGAAACAAGGGACAATGCAATTATAACTTGAACAGTCCAGTTTAGCTTCTTGGATGCATCACATGCACAAACTAAAACCATATGACATTTTATTTGGAGTTCCTTTAAAGTCATGTAGGAGACAAAGCAAACATGAAAAACCAACATTGAACATCACTGAAAACACCAATACCACAGTAAAGCGTAAGGTCCTAGTCATGTTGCCAGGATATTTTTCTTCAGCAAAGACTGGGAAGCCATTCAAGATTGAGGGCAAGATGGATGATGCTCAATTCAAGATAATTGGCTAGAGGTTCAGCAGGAAAATGACCATAAACATATAGCCAAAGTTACAAAAGAATACTATAATATCAAGAAATGGAATATCTTACAATAGCACAACACATTACTGTTTACCATTGGTCCTAATACAACCTAAGAGAGCTTGTGTACCATGCCAAAATTAGGAACTGTGATGTGTGAAGCTGATAGAGACTTACCTTGGGATACTCAGAGATGCCAAAAGTGGTTTCAGCAAGCATGCACCCAGGGATTTGAATATGTATGCAACCTACACATATATGATTTGTTGCCTAATTAAATTAGACTTAAATAAAACTTTTTTCATCTCTGGGACATACACTGCAGCTCCATATGCATATAGTGAACTCATTAATCATAATGATTTTTGTCCAATAAGATCCTGCCCAAAAAGATGTTGATCTCATAGAGCAAAATGTTAACATTACTTATTTTCAGATAAAGCAATATTTTAGATTGTCAGAAAACCTAAATCATCACATA